ACAGCATGGCTCGATTATTTCCCAAGGCATGCAGTTCCTTTGAGTCAGGATCGTTTTGACAATAATGATAGAAATAATAACAGCAAGGGAAGACAACATTTATTTCAAAATTTCCATGCACCTAAGAGCCATACATGTGAATGACAATGTATGATTATAAAGCATGCATATTGTATGTAATAAATATGTTAGCTAATTATAAATGATTTCCATTTTCATATAGTTTATCCTTGCCAAATAAAACCGTAAAAAACAAAGACACCCTTCAAATGCTGTTAAGGAACAATACGTGAATGAGGTTGATTTAATGGAGTCTTAGTTCCTGCATGTGTTCTAATTGAATAGACTATGTAGTCATCTGCTTACATACCCATATATGTCCAAGAATAGTGAAGATCTTTATTTAATGTAAATTATTGCAGCTTATTAACACAGTCTAGCTAAACCAGTCCTGTAATTGATTGTTTTTACTTGTTATATTAATATATAAATTCCCAAAGGATATAACTTAGTGATGTTGGGTGAATTTCACTGAATGATAGCTCAAGCACCTGAAATATTGACTAAGAAAACTAATTTATCAATGCTGGCAATCAATTTTAATATATTAATTGGTTGTAATATAGGATTCTCTGGTTCAAAAAAAACAAGTAAAAAAACTTTCTTCCATTTGCAAATACCAATTAATAGAGCTCTACTTTTCCTTGGATTTCTTCTTACCACCTACCACCTCCAATCCTCATTCTTTCCTCACAAATGAAATGTAAAAGGTACCTACAAAGCATAGAATCTGTGTTAAAGGATATTCTTGTTTGTTTTAAGTCCAAAATTAAACAACTCTGAATCATTAAAAGGTACATAAATTCAAATGTCCTGTTCAAACTAAGAAAATGGTTTACATTTCTCTATGTTCAAGAAAAAAAATAGTCAAGAGTGTACAAGTGGGGTAAAAATCATTTCCAGTAGGTTATGTGATTTAAGTTATAGAAATGAACCAGGCAATTAAATTAAATGTCATAGACAGTAGGTTTTTTCTTTTCCTTTTAATTTCTAATATGTATATTTTCTAAGAAGATAAATCCATAGTGTGATAATTTGTCCACTGGGTCCATCAGACACTGGAGACAGCTTCTTAAAAATTGTAAGTCTTCCAAAGCCAAATTGCCTAGAGCATTTTGTGTGGCAGGCACTTTGCTAGGTGCCTTAGGAATGCAAGAAGTATAAATGTTTTATGATAATTCATGTTGTAAATGTATTCTTGATTATTCCTGTGGAATTTCTAGGCAGAAAAGAGTCTAATGGGGTGTAGGTCTGGGGCAAATCACCATTTTCTCAACACAATTTCCTGAACCTTTGCCAGATGCAGTTCTATGATTTGAACGTGTCCCTCAAAGTTCATGTGTTGGAAACTTAATCCCCAATGCAGTAATGTTGGGAGGTGGGGCCAAATGAGGGGTGATTAGACCATGAAGGCTCTACCCTTATGGATAGATTAATGCTGTTATGGTGAGAAAGGGTTCGTGATTACTGGAGTGGGTTCATAATAAAAAGATGAGTTTGGCCTGCTTTTCTTTCTCTTTCTCATCCTCTTTTCCACCATGGGATGACACAACAAGAAGCCCCCTCCCCTCAATCTTGGACCTCGCAGCCTCCAGGACCATAAGCCAACAAATTTTTGTTCATTATAAATTTCCCAGTCTGTGGTATTCTGTTAAAACAACACTCAATTTATGCATTATTCCCAGCTTCTTTTGGCTATACCTATTTCTCACTGTTTGTATCCACCTTTCCCTCAACCAACTACCCTTAACACAGTTCCCATAGTCACAGAGCCAGGTCACTGAAGCTGCCCTCTCTCCAACCACACACATATAGATCAAATGACCCCAGTCATAGAGCTGGTTTTGAAGGAGGGACCAGGAGGAGCTCTGCATCCCCAGCAGCTTCCTGGAAAGAAGAGGCAATACAACCCAACCCAAAAATACAAGAGAAGTAACACCTTATGGATTGAACTTAACCAATGGGAGAAGACACTAGAGGATGAAATAAATTCATCTCCTTTCCTCCCTCTCTTCCCTACTTCACCCCCTCCCGTCTCTGAACCAAGAGCTGTTTCAAAAGAGCAATACTGTATTTGGCTTCTCTGAAGATATCTTATGAGGCCAAGTTATCAGCTATGTTCATTATCTAGGAGTGGTGGCCAGCTCACTGGCACATCCTATCGTGTTTGCCCTCCCTCCTTCCCTTGTGTTGCTTCCCATTTTCCCTTACTTCTGCTTTCTTGGGATTAAATTCTACTTACAATGTTAGGATATAATTTTTTGCCTTAGATCCTGTTTTCTCGGAAACCCATACTAAGACAACACTGGCAGTAGCCCTGGAAGAGCAGACCTCATGATGGACTTCGAGTTGGATTGTTTGAAGGCAGCAGAAGACTCCATTTAAGTGGTAAGCAGTATAGCTATGAATTCTGCCATGCAGGCCTCACAATTACTGAGGCTTCTTTTACCTGTGGTTAACTGGGACACAGAACAGCAGGAAATTGGATATCAAGGTTATCAAGTAGTTGCTTCACTTAATTGGTATAATTTCATGGAGTTAACCTTGTTTAGGGTCCAGAGAACATTCCATATAGGCTAGAAAGGGTAGCTATTTGTCCTTACTATAACCAATACATACTCTGAATATGAGCTTGCCTTCCCTGTTCAGCACCGCTTCTCTTAGACTTAAGAATGCCTGATCTGTTGATATTATGTACCATATAACATTGCCTGAGACAAAGATACCCATGTACCTCAAAGGAAGTGCAGCAACTAGCTTTCTCTGTACCCATTCTCAGAAATATCCAGTTTATGGAATGGTAAAATAGTCTTAGAGTCAATAGTAAAGGGCTTATATAAGGCACCAACTCAGGGACATTCCACAGCATTGGGGAGCTCTCCTGCTGGATGCAACATATGTGTTAAACCAATAACTTACGTGTTGTGCTGCATCTTCAGTAGCTAGAAAAGACAACTAAGAAGTGGAAATAAGATTGTCACCTTTCACCATTACTCCCCTGGACCTACAGGTAGAATTTGATGCTTCCCATGCCCACAACCTTAGGTTCTGTTATGGATCTCATGAAATCCTGCTGGACAAAAGCAGATATTTGGACAATATGAAGGATGACTTGTTAAATGACAAAAACTAAAAGGTACTGATTGATTGACTTCAAACTGGAAAGAAATTTCTAATGACATGTCATAAGGCCACATGAGCATTTGGATCAGTGGTTTGGGTACATATTGAACAGCTCATTTAGCATATATATGTTAGGACTCAGAAGACACCTTGGTTCTCAAAGGAAGGAATATTTATCATCAGATAACTGATAGTCTTAGCACCAGACTGGACTTCAGCTTGACATTTTAGTGAGAAACTAGGGCTTCAGTCAATATCCTGATATTTAAAGATATTTAAGGCACCTCAATTTTTGTCTTTTTGGAAGATTTATCCTTGAATTATATCTTTGTGTGCTTTATACACTTCAGTATTCCATTATCAGAAGAATTATTTTTTTGGAGATATTTTATGTGAGCAATACACAGACAGGTCATCACTGACATCTCTACTTAAAGAAAGCCTCTGGATGTTATACCTATATATCCCTAGGATATCTAGAAGATGTTGTCCAGTAAGAGTTTTAAGAAAAAAAATACAAAACTCGAATTAAAAAAAAAAAAAAAGGAGAACCAGGGAAGTTGTTTAAAATAAAGGAGAATTTAAAATGTTACTAGTAAACATTCACTAATAAAATATTCATAGAGACAGCTGTTCTAAGGACAAAGGTCTGTTTAAAGATAATGGACAGTGTTAATGCATACAGTTCAATGGAACTTGTACCCTGAAGAATTACAGAGACTACACTGACAGCAAGATTCTGTTTGCAGAATAGGGAAAAATCCAGAAAGACCCAGCAAAAAGAGTAAACCAAGAATATCTGTATCAAAAATCGGTTAGTGGACAGAAAACTACCAGGATGTCTAGTCTGTAATGTGAATTTGTAAAAGTAAAAATGCCTTCTACTTAACTTGCCTCAAAGTTTTTATTATTTATTTATTTTGTTTGTTTTGAGACAGTCTCACTCTGTCGCCCAGGCTGGAGTGCAGTGATCAGCTCGCTGCAACCTCCGCCTCCCAGGTTCCAGCAATTCTCCTGCCTCAGCCTCCTTAGTAGCTGGGATTACAGGCTCCTGCCACTACACCCGCCACATTTTTGTATTTCTAGTAGAGATGGGGTTTCACCATGTTGGCCAGGCTGGTCTCAAACTCCTGATCTCAGGTAATTTGCCTGCCTCGGCCTCCCAAAGTGCTGGGATTACAGGCATGAGCCATTGCGCACAGCTGCCTCAAAGTTTTTACCTCGTCTTCTTCCAGAATAGTTTCTAACTTCGAATACTATCAGCTGTGCTCAGAGATACAGTTGTGGTTGGGCTGGGTGTTGTAACTGTGCCCATGTATAACCTTCCACTCAAAGGAAGAATACACAACTGTATTCAATATTTTTTAATGCTTCTAAAACCCTTCACTGATTCTTAGCATAAAAAGTGTCCCCGTAAAACTAGGCTGTTTTAAGGAGTGGTTGACTCTGAGGAGGTAGCATGTTATATGAAGAAATTTTCAGAGATCCTGAAAATATGATTCAATTTTATGTCTGCAGCATTCTGGCACAGTTGCTGTGAATGCTGCCAAGTACTCTCATGGGGCAGAGCTGTTGTGTGGGGATGACAGAGGGAGTTAGTTCTCTGTGTCAGTGAAGATGATACAACAGGTGGCAGGTGGCAACTGACATGACCACTCTGCTTGCCCATTCAGATTTGTTCAAGTGAGAAGACATAAGAGACAAAGATACACTGGCTAGCAATTCAAGCAAGGTCTCACTGAGCTGAGTATCTTGTTCTGGTTTGTTTACCAGGCTTTTGTTTGAAGCTTTGAAGTCTAGAAGCTCTTTTTTTTTTTTTTTCAGTGCACCAGGGTTGACCAGACTTGGGGAACTGACTCTCATAAATTGGACTCACCAAAACCTGATGTATGTAATTTGCAATGAAGGATATGCCTTCCTCTTTCCAAGGACCAGAATTTTATGCCACTTTTTGGAGCTTACTCTTCTTCATATCAAGATACCTGAGAAGCCAAATTCATCATCAGGATCTTTCTTAGTGAGCAGCAAAAAATAAGGTACAAGAAAGTTGATAGCCAACACGGATATTTCATCTCATCCCTGGTAAAACCTGGTAAGATCCTACCCACAAAAGAGGATCAGAATCCTCTAGATAGTCTTTGTTTCCCTGGGATAATATTAAGCTGACACTGATAAATTCTTATCTTCCAGTTTTCCTTTTTATAGACTTCAGGTAGGATGATTCTACAAAACTCAACTTCAAACAGATTGCAAAATTTATGTTTATATATGCAAATATTTATTCATTACAAATATTATGTTCTTTTCCCCTGCAAAGAAGGGTAGTATTGTCAAAGTCACAACATTTGATGAGGAGTAGGTGGTAATTTTGTGATAGGGTAAATTCTAAAATAATTATCTGGATACAAGGTAGAACTGGTTTTAAAATTGCTGAGGTCAGTTGGGGAAAGGGGAATAATGACTTAATAAGATAATCAATTAGTTTTGCAATGGAGGGATGAACAGTCAGATTGAAGAGGTTATGAGTGTTTTGGATTGTGGCCATATTTTTCCACATCTTTTGACTCATAAATGCTGTTGTGGTCTCAATGTTTGTGGCCCCCCAAGATTCATATGTTGAAGGTAGGGCCATTGGAGATAGCTGGGTTTAGATGAGGTCATGAGGGTGGGGCCCACGTGATGCATACCATAAGAAATATATCAGTTCTTAATTGTGACAAGTATACTGCTTGTAAGTATACTTATAAGAAGAAAAGATACCAGAGTGCCCTCTCTTCTCTTTCACACAAAGAAGAGGTCATGTGAGCACATGGCAACATGGCACCCATTGAGAGACGAGGCCTCAGAACAAAATCTGCATTGTTTGCATCTTGCTCTTGGACTTATAGCCTCAGGGACCAGAGAAATAAATGTTTATTGTTTAAGCCACCCAGTGTATGGTTTTTGCTATGAAGCTCAAGCAGACTAAGATAAATTCCATTTCCAATAAGATCACACACAAATATCTACCTTCCCTGAGTAATTTTTGCTATACTTTTTGCTGGCCCATCTGGCCACAAGCAGATCAATTCTTCACCACTATTCCCTGGCATAATGAGTCTGGAGAGGGTAGTGCTTAAATATACCAATAAGTAACTGCAAGTCTCTTTAATGTCAACTTGGAAATATTCCAAGAAGAAGCAGAAATGCCCTGGGTTCATTTATAGGTCATAATTGGTAATTTGTCTCTGAGGTTTTTAAAAAGAAGTATGTATTTATATTCAGATTGATGGTCTAGCACATTTAACCCTGACTAAATAGGATTTGGAACAAGGAACAGGCTACTAAAAATACTGTGGTGGATGTATTTCCTGAAAGCCTCTTTGAGCTCACCACCCTCAGGGGCTTCACCTAGTAAATCACTTACTCTATCGAAATTCATCAAAAAGACCAGGCCATAGATAAATTTGTGGGAAGCTGTGCTACAAACGAAATGTGAGATCTATGATTCCATATAAGTTTTGTCTGTTGCGCAAATACTTATGCCCAAAAATGTGCTAGGCGCTTTGCAGAGTCTTTACCTAATTTATTGTTCAAAGCAAGCTTCTGTGTAGGTATTATTATATCTAGTTTATAGATTGGAATACAAGGACTGGGAGAGATTAATTAACTATCCAAAGATTATACATCTAGTATATGATGAAGTTAAGAATGAAACTCTTGGCCGGGCATGGTGGCTCACGCCTGTAATCCCAGCACTTTGGGAGGCTGAGGAGGGTGGATCACCTGAGGTCAGGAGTTCAAGGCCATCCTGGCCAACATGGCAAAACCCTGTCTCTACTAAAAATACAAAAATTAGCTGGTCATGGTGGTGCATGCCTGTAATCCCAGCTTCTTGGGAAGCTGAGGCAGGAGAATCACTTGAACCTGAGAGGTGGAGGTTGCAGTGAGCCAAGATCACACCAGTGCACTCCAGCCTGGACAACAAAGTGACACTCTGTCTAAAAAAAAAAAAAAAAAAAGAAAGAAAAGAAAAGAAAAAGGAAACCTTATCCTTACATCCAATTTCCATTCTTTTTTCACCAAATTTTGTCCATCTTAAATCAGCCCCAAAAAAGTTAAAAATATTACAGAAGTAACCAACTATGTATGTACTACAAAGTATTTATTTAATTCAAGATTTACTCCAGCATTATTAATTAACAGCAAATATGTCCAGAAAATAGGCTGCTTCTTCTACTTGCCTGGAACTGTTTGAAAAGACCCCTATAAAAAGAGTAGAGGACATTTTGGTGAAGAAGTGAATCCATTTCAGTGCCCAAGAACATCCAGGCAAGTAGTGCTATAAATAGTTGTCTATCCTTCTCTAAAATGTTTAATCTGTAATTGATCCTAGAAAGAGATTGCAATAGGTTTCTACATCTGCCTTCAAAGACCACTCTGTCAAGTTTTGAAAATTCCTAAAGTTTTTCAGTTATTCTAAGGCTATCAGTATAGTATAGTACATGATGTCGTGTATACTGTTGATATCCTCATTAGAGGTCAAATTGGGGCTGCTGGACTTCTGCATGCCTTTGAGTGGGTCAGTTCTCCATGAACACCTTCATCCTATTATTATGTCAATAGCAGTGGCACATGATGTTGGTTTGGGGCCCTTTTTCAAACATCTGGAAATACCTTGAACTGTGAACACTTCATAGGGAAACTATTAAGGATGCACCAATAAACCAAAGACTAATATTTTTAAACTTTTCATTGCTGTGTAATATATATTTATACAAATTTCTGAATATGACCTCTAAATTCAATCTAAATGCATACTAGTTCTCTGTTATTTCCATCTTAAGGTCCCCTCCACACTTCCTCCTTCTCATCCTTCACTACCTTGCCCCTTTCTACCGCTAGAAATCAGCATTCATCTTTCCAAGCAGCAGCATACAAAGTATAAAAGAAACATCACAAAATAAGCAAACATTAAAAATGGAGCCTTTTAGCATAAATCAACTCCCTTATAAGCCCTGCTGTACAATAGCTGACTTCAAATTCTCACTTGAATTTTCCTTTATGGCTTTACCCATGTAACTCATGCTTCCATGGGTTATTTATTGGCTAATGGAAATCCTCCCTTGCTTCCAACAAATTTTCCCCTGAGCATGGTATTATGGGGACTTCTGGCATGAGGGTTCAAAAGTAAGTGAATGAATGATGAATGTTCACAAGTAAAATATATTAGTCACCACAGGGCATCCACCACCAGTTTCCTATGGTACCCCTGGGTGATGTCTACTGCTGCAGCCAATCCTCATAGATGAGCCCATCTAGTAAGAATCATAACCTTCTATCTGGTTAGCAGCTCTCTGGGAAAATCATCGAGAACTGACCTTATTTCTAGGTTATGAAATAGGCACATGACCTAGGCCTGACTTACAGGAGTCCACATCCCTCTTAATACTGAAAGCTTCAGGGAGGGGAATGTGACTTAAGCCAATCCAACTAGAGTCACTCCTGGGACTCTTCCTGGAGCTACTGGGAAAATTATGCTCCTTTTGTTTAGAAATCATTCGCTGAAAGGAAAATGTATGTCTGAGGTTACTGGCATGCATTTTTGCCACCACACTGAGAAAGAACAAATACAGAGGAATGCAGAGTCAAGATGTAGAGAAATAGAGACAATCTACTGGGATTACTTCAATTGTAGATTCAGCCATGACTGAATACAGAATTATATCTTTAATCCCCCACTCACATTAGTCAATGAATCTTTTTTTAACTTTAAACTACTCTGAGATGGGCCTCTTATAATTTAAAACCAAAAGATTTCTGACTCATGCACTTAAATAGTTGCATCTACTTTTGATTGTAAAGCCTGCTATCTAATGCAAAACATTAACCTGCCTAATACCTATAGCTCTGTTAGTGATGGAATTTATTAGTTTCCAAGTTAAAATAACTTTCTAAAATGTCTCATTCACCCAAAAAGGTTTCCCTCTTTTTGAGAATCTGCCCCAATCAGGAATGACCTTTGTGAGCCTCCCTGCACTTTGATTTGTTAAATTTCTTTGAGATGAAAATCTCAGGAAAGTAGGGAAAAAAATCAGGGCAGAGGGTTTCACATGCCTTTTAATTTCATATTAAGCATAGGCTCTAATAATCCTTTTGTATCACCTTCTTAGCATTCAGTACACTGTCTTGTGGTAGAAAATGTCAATTATTCAGGCCATCTTGAGCCCTAAGCTGGATTTCTCCTTCATGTTGGGGATAAATAACATTAAGTGGGAAGTGGGAAGCCTACAGTCAAGACTCTAAGCAAATTTCTGAGTCATTTTTACAGCACATTAGAAAAGGTGCTCTGTCCTTTTATTACATCCCTAAGATTGAAAGCAGAGGATAAATTCTACTCATAAACTCTCTTACATATATTCTCACTGAAACCTCGTTTGGTTGAAATTCTCATCAGGGGAGAATTCAATGGGATCTTACACAAAGAGACTCAGTTCTACTAAATATAGCAGATTCCTGAATAACATCATTTTATTCATCATCACTTCGTTATAACATTGATGAAGAAAACAAATATTTATTCCCACAAAGGCCACCTTCTGTGTGGAATTTGCGCATTGCCCCATGTCTGTTACCTCTGGTCTGGAATTCGGCTTTTCATCTCTAGTTTCCTAGAGCCTAGTTTAGTGTCTGGAACAAAGTAGGTGCTCACTTTCTGTGGTAGACCGAAAAATGGCCTCCCAAAGATGTCCATGTCCTAATCCCTATAACCTGTGACTATGTGACCTTACCTGACAAAAGGGACTTTGCAGTTGTGATTAAATTACAGATCTTGAAACGGGGAGATGATCCTGGATTAACCAGTGATCCAGTATAGTTACAAGGATCCTTAAAAGAGAGAGGCAAGATATTGAGAAAAGGGGATATGATCGCAGAACCAGATATTGGAGTATATATTTTGAAAATGAAGGAAGTTGTCACAAGCCAAGAAATTCACTTGGCCTCTAGAATCTAGAAAAAGTAAAAAAATATATTTTTCCTGAAAGCCTCCAGAGGGAACATAGTTCTGCCAACACCTTGAGCTGAGACTTCTGACCACCAGAAATCTAAGAGAAAAAGTTTGTGCTGTTTTAAAGCCATTAAACTGTGTTCATTTGTTACAGCAGCAATGGAAAACTAATATGCTTACGACTCATTGATTGGTTGGTTGAAAAGTTAAATAAATGGATGCATATGCAATGCTTTCTATAAAACATTTTGCTGCTTTTATCCCCAAGGTAAACTGAGCTACCTGAAGTCTAGACAGTGATCTGAACTACTAGTTTCCTGCAAAGAGACAATGGACTTCCTAGTGGAGTAGGAAGGTGGGCCACCCCACCACCCTCACCTTGGAAAGGGCTTCTCAGCTGCCTGCACACAAACATCAGATTGCCTTTTCCAGGCTGGCAAAGAAATATTTTCTGTTAATAAAATTTTTTGTAATAATTCTGTTAAGCCACAAGATAAACTTATATCAATCTGATTATTTCTGAGAGGTGAGATTTTAGGTAGTTTTTCCTTTTATGTTTAGCTTCTCTGTGGCCTTTCTTCTGTTTTACACTAAATATATGGTTTTATAATGAGAAAATAATAAAATAACTCTCATTCTGAAAACCAAAAGTCCTTTTTACTGAGGCTTTCAAGATGTATTTCCACATCCTTGACTGTTTTGTTTCTGGAAAACAGATCAACAATCTATAAGAACCATCTTCTTTTCAAAGGAAACACATATTAAAATAAAAATCGAGTGTTATAAGGAATTAGGCAGAATGTTTTTCCTCTGACTGTCTCCTCTGATTGCAAAGAGCATCTGTAGTTAAATGAAGGCTCTGCTTCTTCTGAACGGAGGGGCACACAAACCCTAATGCTAGACTCTGGCCTTAGCAAGGACACTTTGGGCATTACTT